TTAAATTTTACTATAAATTTAATTATTTAACTAATATTGATTTAGTTTCGGGATAATTAGAGAAATTCAAGAAGAAATAGTTTAATAAAATAATAATAATAATATTTAATAAAATATATCTTAATTTTTAGTTTCATAATTTATTTCATTCATAATTTTTTAATGGTGCATTAATTAATTATATAATTATTAGATCATTTTTAATTAATTACTTAACAGATAAATATTTATTAAATAAATGTTAATAAATAAAAATTAATTAATTAATAAAGAAATTTATTAGTTTGATATTTAACAGGTTAATATTTATTAATTAAAATTAATAACTAATATTTGAAATTTAAATAATTAATATTTTAGTATTTATTAAATAAATTATAAGTTAATATTTATTATTTAATAATCAATATATTAATTAAATATCTATATTATAATTAAATACATACGTGTTATATCAAATATAATAATAATTAAAATAAAATAAGTATATTTAAGTTAATATATTTGTTAAGATTTTATTTTTACATATTTTTTATTATTTTACATAATTAGTAATATTAAATGGCTTATTGTTATTTTCTTTTAGATGTTTTTTTATGAATGTGTTGGACAACCGTAGATATAAAATATTTATTACTTATGAATATTTTTATTAGGAACATAAATTTACTAAGTATATATTTTTGTCGATAATTATTTATAATAATTTTAATTTATATGTAAATATAAATTCGTTGATAATATAAATTTATCAATAGCTTTAAATGTATAAAAAATTATCTGATAATATAAATTTACGACAAATTTAAATCCGTCCATAATTATCTACGAATAATTTAACATTTTCTTGCAGTGAATATAACATGCATTATACACCACATATATGTAGCTTCAGATCATGGATTGAAATTATGCTTCAAAAATTATTTCACATAGAGTTAGATTCAATTATATAGGTAATTTTTTTAAAAAATTTGTTTTCTTATATAGCCATATAAATGAAAACAAATCACCTCTATTTCATTTATTGTTAATGCCATCAATCCAAATAATATAAAGTTCCATTTAAAAGTCATTTCAATGAATACTTTTTATATGTTTCTTTAAACACTTTCTTTTTTTCCTTTTTTTGTTAATTTTTAACCAAACGAAACTGAACTGTAAATGTAAAATTTTGGTTGATCGTATAATAACCCTCTTAAAAAATAACCATTATACAATCCGATATAATAATATATAATCTTATTAGATTTTTATATCAATTGTTTAATTGGTGTTTTTCAAAAAAAAAAAAAAGGCTTAAATATCATTTTTCTGAAATTTTGTCACATTGGCTTGTTTTCTGTAAATAACTCAGAATGTATGTAAGTGGAGACTGTAAAAATAAAAAGAAAACAAAGAGAAGAAGAGAAGGTTACTTCTATTTTATTTATTATGTATTGCCCCTTCCTTGGATGTTTTATTCACCATGACTTGTGCCATGAATTTCCTTGAATTTTTATAGATAAAACAATAAACCTAATGTTGACACGTATCCAATTATAAGTTAATTACTTATTTAATCATTATAATTATGCAAATTTAACTTTTAGTCTTGCTACTTTTTATTTTAATTTTTATATACACCATTTATTTATTTATTCTCAATCATTAGAGTTACACGGACTAAAAGAAATTAAAAATAGTATATAAAAAACTAAAAAGATGTTTTAAATAGAGAAAGTATCAAATAAATTTGTTCAACCAACAAAGTAATTTTTAACTTTCAATTTCACAAGTTTCTAAAATTCTAATTAAAATATACACTAAATTTGGACTTTAGTATTTTGTGATGTAATACATGAAAGATAATTTATATCATTGGACAATTTATAGTCATGCTTCATATAGTTTGATTCTTAATATGATTAATAATAGATTAAAAGGGTGAATTGAAAATAATGTTAAAATACAATTATTTTAAATAATGTTTCTCAAACAAAATATTCACTTACAATCCAATATTGATTCTATTGTTTTTAAATTGAATAATGAAAGTGTGAATCTGTTATTTTTTATTTTAAGCCAACATGCTAATTTTAGCGTTAAAAACATTTTATGCGCTATGTTTGAATACAAAAAGGACTAAATTCCAGAAAATAAAATCAATATTAAGATGTATTGAAGTTTTATTACCGAATCAATAATTAAAAACAACAATCCTCTGGTTTGTCAACAACAGTCATTGGCAATTCCTAAGCGAAACATGTAATGAATTCATTTTGATTCTAGAATAACCTCCCCCTAATCACGCAGGGCAGGGGTAACGGATCTGCCACCGTCACAAAAAAATCATTTTGAATTCATGTTGAACACATCTCAACACAACATTTTTGCTATCCATCTCTTCATTTATTACTTTTTACATATTTTTTTTCTCTTTGTATCTTCATCTTAGTATGTAAAATTTATTTTATAAACAAACAGAGTTTCTCATATTTGAACTGAGGACCTTAAAGAATTACGTATTTCCAAGTCAATGGCGTTACTTGCATCATAATCAAATATGGCGTGAATAATGGTGAAGCCTCCCCTGTTCATGCAAATATGCCTAATTCCGAAAAGTTGACCAAACCACTTTATCAAGCAAACCAAACTCAACAATTGCACGCGGCCAATGTTCAGGCTCAACTCCACCGTCTCAACATTAATTAATATTTAAACTTCCTCGATGCTAGCCATATCTTCGGGACATTTATCAAAACCCCTTACATCTTTCTTCTTTCTTTTCCTTTTCTACGATACTCCTCACATTTTAAAAGCTAACAAACTCCTCACATTTTAAAAGCCCTAGCAAACCATTTTCCTGGGGAAAAGTATAATTTTGGTACTTGTAAATTTTGCTTTTATCCTTATTACCAATGAGTTAAAAAATGTAATTTTTTTTTTTAAAACAAGAAGAAAAATTGTTGTGGATTTCCTTACTCAAGGGAAAGTCAAAAGGAAAAGGGAAATCCTACTAGCACGAAAAATGTTCCCCTATGCGTTAAATCTAAGAAACTTGAATTTTTATCAGCATAATCACTCCCCACGCTACAAATCTCGTACCCCCCCAAAAAAATGCTAAACTTCAGTTTCTTTTGTGAAGCTTGAACATAATGGCGTCAAAGTCCTCAAAGCCCAACCGGGGGCGATTCATGTTCTCTTGTTTCATACTCATCTCCTTCCTCTGTTTGTTCGCATCAATTAATGAAGTTCGATTCAGTGGTTTACTGAGGTTGGGTCGATGTGCTATCTCAAACGAAACTGCACCCACGACAAACGAATCAGAAGACCTTCGAATCCTCATCTCGGTTCTGACCCTCCCCGACCAGTACCTTCGGCGACACTTCCTGCGCCTCGTGTACGGCACGCAAACCTGGGAGGGCGCGAAAGTGGACGTGAAGTTCGTGTTCTGCAACCTCACAAAGGAGGACCAGAAAGTGATGGTGGCGCTGGAAATCATGCTCCACAACGACATCATCATCCTGAACTGCACGGAGAACATGAACAAGGGCAAAACGTCGACGTTCTTCACGAGTTTGCCCGAGATGTTCAACGACACGACCGGTGTGGGCCCCCACCCTCCGTACCACTACGTGATGAAAGCGGACGATGACACGTACGTGAGAATTAACAGTTTGGTGCGTTCGTTGAGGCCGTTGCCGAGGGAGGATTTATACTATGGGTTCGTCATACCCTGTGGAAGCATGGACCCTTTCAAACACTACATGTCTGGGATGGGCTTTGTGGTGTCCTGGGACATCGTGGAGTGGATCCACAGCTCTGATATTCCGAAGAAACACGTGGAGGGCCCAGAGGATAAGGTCTTTGGAGATTGGATGCGATGGGCTCGCCGTGGAAAAAATAGGTACAATGCTAAGTGGTCTATGTACAACTACCCTGATCCACCCTCCGTGTGTAGCCACGAGCTTTGGAATGATACTATTGCGGTTCATTTGTTGAAGAATCAAGAAAAGTGGATCCGGACTCTCTCCTTCTTCAACCACACTCATTCCTTGAAGCCATCCAAGTTGTACCATATACCTTAGCTTAATATATAGCTCCTACCTCATCTTCATTCTTCACATTTTTCCCTTTTTTTTACATATGATGATAGTAATAATGTTACCATATCTGATTTCATTTTGGGGGTCTTAATAAGTTGTGGTCTTTTGTTGAGGAGGAGAATAGAAGGAACAATATTAACTTGCAAGCTGCTTGATTTGAGGTTTTTACATGCAAATTTTGAACGTTCCTGATCTATAAGTGGTGGAACACGAGGGTTGTGGTGAATTTGAGGTTTGAAAGATATTCTAAGACTGGATCTAACATGAGATGGAGATCAATTCAAATGGGGAAACAGAGTCGGTGAAGGCGGGGATTTTCATTTCCTTTCTACCTAACATGGAAAAATAGCATGTTCAGGATTTGTGATGTTCAGAATTCATCAATACACCATTCTTGTCTGGTTGTACTCTGCAGTTTTCTAGAGAAGTAGATTATTTAATTTTGGTCCAGTGCACTGCATAATATGCAACTCCCTCTAAGGCCTTGTGCTTGGGGAAACGTTTGATTGGACTGTATCTATGTTGATGATGCGAGGAGAAGAACTTACTTAATTTAAGTTCTTAACATTTTCATTAATTAATTGCTATAATCCTTTTCAATTACATTAGTTTAGCACAAATATAATTTTAATACAGTTATTAAACTACTAACTAATAACAATAATAAGTAAAGTTCAAAATAAAAGCACTAATATATTTCATTTTCCTTAATAAAGAAAAATTAGAGAGAAAAGGACGTAAAAAATTATCAAATGTCCTAAAATGCATTACAAAATATGTAAAAAAAAGGCCCGAAATGCGTCTATAATAATAATCTTACCGATACAAAGAAGAAATTAAGAGCATTTGCGTTGCCATTACTAAAATTACTTATGAACCAAATGAGTTTTGAAATATTGAAACAGATTAAAAATGACGTTGCTCATAAGTAACTTTAACAGAATAGACTTTTAAATTTAAATTTTATTTTAATTCAATTTATGTATGCATTATTTTTAATTTATTATAAGTTGAATTCAATTTATATACAAATTTTCTTAAGTTCATTTTCACTGTTTTTTTATCGTTCATGTCAATTATTAATTTCATTATTAGATAATAACAAGTACCACTGGTTGCAGTGTCTCTTCTATTCCTGCCTTGGTCTCCTTTACCCTTGTTTATTCCGTCACATTTTATTTTATTTTATCGATTTGACTCTTCTCTATCACCTAAATAGAAAAATAAAATAAAAATAAAAACTATTAAAACAAAAAAAAGTTATATCTCCATTTCTTCTGCAGGAGAATTTTTATAGAGTGTTTTAACACAGAAGAGAGAAATAGAATTAATGAAAATACAAATAGGTAAAAAAATGTGAAGGTAACAAATAAAATAAAAAAGAGATAACAAAATAATTACATCAAAGATAAATAAGAAATACTGACAAGTCTAACTGGATGTGTTTTAGAAATATATCTCCTTTTTTTCATTTCTCTTTTTCTAAAATTTCTCACTTATCTTAAAAAATTAACTCATTCTAAAAAAAAAAAACTTATTTTCATCTTCCTCTCATTTATACTTTCGATCACAAAGTAGAAGAACATTAAATGATAGAACAAATTAAGACCTCGTGATAATAGCTTCAATTATTCTTAAAATACAAACAGTCCAATTTCTGAAACTTGAATACGTCAAAATGATAGAGTCCTACGTAACATTGTATAACGTGATAATAATAAAAATCTTCAAAATTAATAATTTTCCTAAATACAAAAATTGTAAAGAAAGGTATGAAAATGTGAACTCTGTGCGGGCTAAAGTTTTATCTTTTATTTCGAATTTTATTTATATAATGTTTTTGAGCCGTTTTTCAATTTATTGAAAATTGAATAATGTTTTTTAATTCCTACAAACACACTTTTTTTTAAATTATTCTAATATTTTTATACTCTTAATTTCTTCACGTTGAAATGTAACTGGGTGCGAATATTTATCTACCAATAAAACGGTCTATATGTACTAACAACATATTTTTAAATAATTGAATCAAGTGATACAATTAAAAATTTTTAAAAATTAAAGTATTTTTTAAACATGTTTTTTATTAAATAAATAATATTACATATAAGTACAGTGACACAAGTGATTAATTTACTCAGCTTGACATAAAATTCGTTCACATATTTTCCGAAACAATCATTAATTAAGCTTTTATCTATCTTTAAAACTGAAAATCGAATTGAGTGAATATTATCCAAATTTAATTCTTAAATGTAAATTCAATAATCAAACTTTATTTATCATAAAGTGAAATTAGTTTGAAAAAATAATTATTTTACGAAGAAGCGAACATGTTAGAGTATATTTAATGTTAAATATCAAAATATTAACTATATTATTTCGAAGATCTTATATAATTATTTTAAATTATTGTGAAAAAACTTCCAAATTTCTATAAAAATAAAAGTAAATATTTTTAAAATTTTAAGGGGCCACTTCACAAGATTTTATATAAAGATTGAACATTGTAAAAAAAAAACTTCCAAATTTTGAAAACTGATAATTTTTTTTTAACCTATATGTAGGAATTTAAAAAGCTTAAAAAGGTAAAATTATTGTGGATGACAACCTGGAGATACATGGGCAGACCAAAACACACGAGAGCCAACCAAAGTGCAAAAAATTCTGAATGGGGCCATTTCTAACCAGTCGCGTCACAACCGAGGCCACCAAAATTCAAACCAATGCTCCATGCTCGAATGGGTTTGGGTACGTTTCATGGAAGAAATTAAAAAAATAAATCAGAAAATGATGAAAATTATAGTATTATTTTGCCCTTTTAAAAAAATTAAATATTTTTATTTCACTTTTAATATATTTTTATCTTGATAAAATTTATCTCATAAAAAAAGTGTAAATTGAGTCTAGGGCCTTCTCACCCACCAACCAATGAGATTCATAGTTGTTAATTTTCTTTTTCAAGGTGTATTTGTGTGTAGGTAGGTCTTGGGAGGCCACGTCGCACTGTTTGTGAGTTGAGTTGAGACTCTGGCCATCGCGTTTTCTTCCGCAGCCCACACAAGTTCGCATTGCACCTGTGCTGCTGCGCGCGCGCGCGAGAGAGAGAGAGACAACGACCCTTACGCTTCGACTCTTTCTTTGCGGCGGCGCGTCGTTTTCTCTCCGTTTCACTCGTTCATTGCTTCTCTGTAAGGTTTTTGCATCATGATCTTGCAATCCTTAAGTCCTATCATCATCATTTTTCAGATTTATTCCATTTTGTTTACCTATTTTTTATCTCTTGATGTTGGTTTACTTTGGATTGCGATTGTTTGAGCACGTAAGAGTTGTTTTCTTCCTCATTTGGCTATTTTGTCCAGCATGTGCATATAAAATCAAAAGATGCGATGCGCAGTAGTTTCATAATGTAGTGCTTCTTAGAGAACTAGTGGAGTGTGTTGAGAAGTTGTTGCACTTTATTTTAGACATGGGCTGGTCGGGTTTTGATTTTCTTCTCTAGGTTGACTTCCGCGTGAAAGTAACGCACTTGTTCTGCCTGAATTCACAATATCAGTTTTGTGTGTCAAGTTTCTCTGAACCTATATCAATCGCTTTTAATAATGAGAATATCATAGATTACTTTTCAAGTTAAATATGTTAATTGGTCCGATTTGTGTAAATTAACATAGTGAACTTGAAATTGGCATCATATCGAAAAAATTAAACATCCCGTCTTCGCAGTGAGGATTTAGCTGTCGTGTTTTCAATGTTGTAACGGTAAAGTTGGGGTAGACTGAAGGAGCATAAATGCTTTTCCTAATGGGTAGTGTTCCAGTCTAAGATACCTCTATTAAGGTTAGATGCTGCCTAGAGACAGAGTATTCAATTGTGTTCAATATGCCCACCTCAGGTCTCTCTTGTGGTTCTTTAGGGATTTTTGTGCTGACATATTTTTCGTCATAAGCAGGGCAGCTATTCCAGACTTAATAGCTTGATTTGCCTTCTGCAATTCTTCTTAACGTCACGTGTTTTACGTCTTTCTTTTTCTGTTTTGCATCTTTTTGCAATATATTTTCTGTTATGATGTATTTTTCTGTTATTCTCTCTCTGTTTTGCTTCCTTCATTTTATATTTATTCCACCATATCTCAATAAGAAAACACATAGCAGTTGTTGATCATTTTTTACTACCACTTGCTCTTTCTGTGAATACATATCACCTCTTTATTCCTTTATGGATTTTATTATGGTATCAGAGCTCTTCCATTGAAGAGCTCTGCTGCGCTTTCCTTCTACTCCTTTTCCATCATGGCTGAAGCCTCAAATCAAACACCCAATATTCATAGTTTTCTTTACTTACACCCTGCAGAAAATCCTGCCACAACTTTAGTGTCACCTATTCTTGACTCCAGTAACTACCATTCATGGAGTAGATCAATGATTACAGTCCTTAGTGCTTAAAACAAACTGGAATTTGTTGATGGATCTGCACCTCAACCTCTTGAATCTGATCTCACTTACTCAGCTTGGAAACGATGCAACAACATGGTTGTTTCATGGATCGTACATTCTGCATCTCCTTCAATCTGACAGAGTGTGCTTTGGATGGACAAAGCTGATGAGATATAGAATGATCTCAAATCCCGTTATTCTCAAGGTGATCTCCTACGTATTTCAGATCTACAGTATGAAGCATCTTCCCTTGGACAAGATGATATGTCCATTATCGAGTTTTTCACTAAACTTTGTATCATTTGGGATGAATTGGAGAATTTTTGACTTGAATCCGTATGCACCTGTTCGATTAAATGTTGTTGTAAGGTTCTTCCTTCCATTATACAAAGAAAACGAGAGGATCAGGCCATGCAATTTTTACGTGGCTTGAATGATCAATACAACATCAGATCTCATGTCCTTCTTATGGATCCTATCCCTCCAATTTCCAAGATATTTTCATTTGTTGCTCAGCAAGAACGCCAATTAATAAGAACAAATTTTGTTGGTAATGTTTCTTCCAAAATGACTGTGGTTAATGCTGCTACATCCTCGATCAGTTGCACTCATTGTGGACATGTTGGTCACACTGAGAATCTTTGCTATAGGAAACATGGTTTTCCCTCCACGCATGATAACGGAGGCTCTCGTTATTCTTCTAACAAATTCACTAAACTTTGCACTTATTGTGGTAGAACAAGTCATACCATAGAGGTTTGCTATCGCAAACATGGTTTTCCTCCAGGTCATAAATCCTCTCCAAGAAAGAATTCTGTTGTCAACAACACCATGACTGATGCTTGTAATGTCACTGATAATGATCAACAACAATCTCCCATGTCCCAGGATTTTCGTTTCACTCAACAACAATATCAAGCCTTAATGGATTTAATACAACAGCCCACCGATGGTAGCTCAGCTCCTTCTCCCTCCCACACTACTATTGGTTCTGTCAGTTCTATCTCTACACAACCCTCCTCTTTAGGTAATTATTGTTCTATCATTTCTCGCCGTCTATCCTCCTGGATCATTGATTCTGGTGCAACTGATCATGTGTCTTCCTCCCTTTCTAATTTCTTTACATATACATCTATTGATCCTATAGTTGTTAAGTTGCCCACAGGTCATCATGTTCATGCTACTCATTCTGGCATAGTCAAATTCAAATAGTCCTTCCATTTAACAGATGTTTTGTACATCCCTGATTTCACGTTTAACTTAATCTCTATTTCTAAATTGGTTTCTTCTCTTCATTGTCAACTTATTTTTTCCCCTATATCTTGCATTATACAGGATGTGAACACCAAAGAGAAGATTGGTACAGTTGATGTGCAAGGAGGACTCTACACTTTGACCACTCCTATTATCCAATTACCTTTAATTTCCTCCACTATTGTTTTTCTCCAATATACTGTCCAAGACATTGATTTGTGGCATTTTCGCATGGGTCATATGAGAGACTTAACGCTATGAAGCAACATTATCCATTCTTCTATAGTAATAATCATTTCACGTGTAATACTTGTCACCATGCCAAGCAAAAGAAACTTCCATTTTCATTAAGCAATTCTCATGCATCTCATACGTTTGATTTAATTCATATTGACAAATGGGGACATTGTTCAAAAATCTCTTTGCATGGACATAAATATTTTATTATTGTAGTTAGATGATCATTCTCGTTTCACGTGGGTTTTTCTGATGTTATCTAAGATTGAGACTCGTAACCACATAATAAATTTTGTCAATCTTAATGAAAATCAATTTGGAAAACGAGTCAAAGTTATTAGAACTGATACCAGTGGTGGGTTCTTGATGAATAAATTTTTTTATTCTAAAGGAATTATACATCAAACTACATGTATTGAAACCCCATAATAGAATGCCATAGTGGAACGGAAACACCAACATCTCTTAAATGTCACTCGGGCCCTTCTCTTTCACTCCAACTTACCACCCTCTCTTTGGATTTTGCTATCATGCATGTTGCTCATCTCATAAATTGCATTCCAACTCCTTTCTTACAAAATATATCTCCTTTTCAAAAACTATATGACAAACCATGCGATATTTCCACACTTCGTGTTTTTGGCTGCTTGTGCTATATTAGTACCCTTCAAGCTCATCGTAAGAAACTTGATACCAGACCCTGTCCATGTATATATCTCGGTTTCAAACCTAACACAAAAGGATACCTCATCTTTAACCTTCACACACGTAACATTGAAGTATCACGTAATGTAGTCTTCTATGAAAATCATTTTCCTTACACTAACTCTGACTCACATACTACTTCTTTTACCCCTTTCCTTCCTTCACATACTACCACTAATTACTTTCTTCACAACCCTACTCCTTCCCCTTCTTCTACTCACCCTTCAAATATTGTTACATCTCCACCTGCTCTTCGTCGTTCTACCCGCATGTGTCAAGCACGCACATACCTGCATGATTTTCACGTCACCCTCGCATCAACTGCACCTGCTCCTTCTCCAGGTATTCATTATCCTCTTAATTCTTATATAACTTATGATTGTTTATCTCCTTCTTTTCATCGTTTTATCTTGTCTATTTCCACTACCACCGAACCTTCCTCTTATGCTGAAGCTTCCAAAAGTGATTGTTGGATTAAAGCTATGAAAGGTGAGATTATTGCACTCAAAGCGAATAACAATTGGACCATCACTTCGTTACCTCCAAACAAATATGTGATTGGGTGTTGATGGATCTACAAGATCAAACATAATTTTGACGACTCTGTTCAAAGATATAAGGTGTGTCTCGTTGCTAAAGGGTATACGCAACTTGAAGGTCTTGACTTTCTTAATACTTTTTCTCCAGTAGCCAAGCTTACTATTGTGTGTCTTCTTCTCTCGTTAGCTGCCATTCATGATTGACATCTCAAATAGTTGGATGTTAATAATGCGTTTCTTCATGGGGAACTTAACGAGGAGGTTTACATGCACCTCCCTCCTGGTGTAACTTCATCCAAACTGAGTCCAGTTTGTCGTTTGCAACGTTCTTTGTATGGGCTCAAACAAGCCAGCCGACAATGGTATGTTCGTCTCTCCACTTTCCTTGTATCACATGGCTATCAACACTCCTCTGCAGATCACTATTTATTTTTAAAGTTCACAGAATCAACTTGCACTGCTCTTCTAGTATATGTGGTCGACATCGTTCTTGCTGGCAATGACATTTCTGAAATTCGTGCTATCACTATTCTTCTTGATGAAGCTTTCATAATCAAAGATCTAGGTGATTTAAAATATTTTCTTGGGTTGGAGGTTGCTAGAAACAAAATTGGTATTCACTTGTCTCAACGAAAATATGCTTTAGATATTTTCTCTGACACTGGCATGCTTGCTTGTTCTCCTTCATCTACTCCATGGACTATTCTGTTCGTTTATCTGCATCTAGTGGTGAATCTTTAGTGGATCCTTCGGGTTATAGGAGACTCATTGGGCGGTTGATTTTTCTCACAAACACACGTTCTTACATTACTCATGTTGTCTAGCATCTTAGCCAGTTCGTTGCCAAACCTACTTTAGTTCATCATCAAACCGCTTATCGTGTTCTTTGTTATTTGAAGCATGCCCCTGGATATGGAATTTTCCTTGTTGCTGCCCTCTTCAGTTGAAAGCCCTTAGTGACTTTGATTGGGCTGGATGTGTGGATTCACGTCGCTCCATTACGGGTTTTTGCGTTTATATTGACAGCTCTCTCATCTCGTGGAGATCAAAGAAGCAACCAACCGTCTCTCGCAGCTATTCTGAGGTAGAATATCGTGCCCTTGCAACCACTTCATCTAAGCTTCAATGGCTCATTTACTTGTTAGAAGATTTTCGCATCCAATTCACTTGACCAACACTCCTTTTCTGTGATAATCAATCTGCCTTACAGATAGCTTCTAACCAAGTGTTCCATGAGCGCACGAAACATATTGAATTGGACTGCCATTTCATTCGAGGAAGAGTTAGCAAAGGCTTGATTAAATTGCTATTTGTATCCTCTTCTCTTCAATTAGCTGACATCCTCACTAAGGCGTTATCTCCTTCTATTTTTAAAGATTTTTGTTCCAAGCTAGGAATGACAAACATCTATTCCCAGTTTGAGGGAGACTCTTAACGTCACGTGTTTTACGTCTTTCTTTTTCTGTTTTGCATCTTTTTGCAATATCTTTTTTGTTATGATGTATTTTTTTGTTATTCTCTCTCTCTGTTTTGCTTCCTTCTTTTTGTATATATTCCACCATATCTCAATAAGAAAACACATAACAGTTGTTGATCATATTTTACTACCGCTTGCTATTTTTGTGAATACATATCACCTCTTTGTTCCTTTATGGATTTTATTAATTCTCGCCCAAGAGTTTAGGGCGAACTTGCGATCCAAAGGATTACTCAGTTAGAATAAGGCTAGAGGAGGGGTCACAACTCTTCAACCTCTAGCAGTTTTGGATGACGGGGCTGTTTGCGATGATCCATATACTCGGTCAGAATACGTCTGGGATGGGGATAAGTAGAATACAAATTAAAACTCATGCATTAATGTGACTTCGGAGGCTTCTACTTAGTCCTAAATCCTGATGAGTCATCGGGTATTGCTTAGATCGTTACTTTATCTTTTCCTGGATCAATTTACTGATTATTTTTATTGGTTGCACATAAATGGACATGTATACAGTAGTGCATTAGTTGCATAAAGCTCATAGATGATAGTTCCATCTTCCTTCCCCGCTGATATTATGCACTGGCTTGCTGGTTCATTTAATATTAATCTTTTGTTTCATACAAAAACATAGCATTGCATGTAGGCACACATTGGCGCATGGGACAATTTTGATCTTTGTTACTCTAATTTTGTTTTTGACCTGTATTTTGTTTATTAGTTTTAATTCTGAAAACGACAATTATAATACAAAGCAATAATTGTGTTTCACAGGTTTTGGTGCACTTCATTCTGATTCATTATGGCCAATGGTCAGGCACCGTTTTCTGATATTGGAAAAAGGGCGAGAGGTAAATTTGCATTTGGAATCATATTATGTTGTTAAATGGCCAAATGCTGTGGTGGATTTTTTGCCAACTGCTGTAGTCAATTTGTGAAGGCAGGCCTGCGATGGCAACATCACATGCTATGCCATGTTTATATGTTGGAATTTTTATTTTCTGTCATCTGCCATTGATAACGATGGAATCATAGTATATTCATTTTTGCATGTCATTACTCAAAAATTATTTTTATATGTCACCTCACTTAAGTATACATAGATATGTAAGACATGACATGGTAAAATCCACAGAAAATTTTTGATTGGCTTCATGCCTTGTATTCTTCTTCAATAATTTAATTATTTTCAATCTCTATGTTCTGTTGCACAACTAATTTTCCTGTTGCTGCCACTTTTAGTTTACTTAACAACTGAGATTTCTAATATCATGAACTATTTCAAAGATTCTCAAGTGAGACTTCTAACATAATCCAAAGATCTTTGACTTTCTCAATCCAACCTCTGTACACTAGGCCTCTGGAAGCATGGTGTGATGTATAATATAATTGTATGAAAACTATGTTATCTAACAATTTGTCCTTAAAAACTTCTCTAGTTTCAATCCCTATATGGTCGTATGTGGTAGAAAATCTAGGCTGTTGGTTTCTCTATTTTTCATATCATGTCACATCTAAATTTTGTAAAATGTACCAGTGGCATTAAGTTGTAAATACTCTTGTTGATATGCAGACCTTTTATACAAGGATTACAACTTTGACCACAAGTTTAGCTTGTCAATTCCAAACTCCACTGGATTGGTAATGCTAACCCACTTTCTGCTATTTTTTTTTTAAATTACTTGTTTTAGTTTACTGTTCATTTCTCATTTCTCATTGCAGTTGATGCTGATATAAAACCCATTTTCCGTGAATATGCTGTTGTCTTAATCACACACACACACACACACATACTGAACATCATATAATTTAAGAGTATAAAGATTTTTTTTTATGCAGTTTTTATATTCTCCTCCTTTTGACCGGCCATCAAACAGGAACATAATTCTTTAGAAAATCTCAGGATAAGTGAATTGCTTCCCATTTTTGGTGATATGACGATAGAAATTTCATCAAATCCATCTTTCATCTTTCCTTGTTATTCCAGTATTGAGTAAAATAAAGGCAGAGGAAGAATGAATGGATTTAATACATTGCTCAATTGATTGATGTGATGTCATTAAGTTAATAATTGGCATTAGTTAAAATATTAACATTTGAATCTAGTTATTTTTCTGCTAAGCAAATTATCAAGAGTTGTGAGATAAAGTAACCGCTGGATACCAAGATAAATATTATTTTTTGTATGGAATCATGTTTTATCTATTTAACATAACTACAACTATACTAAATTCTAAAAGACATTGAGTAAATCTCTAAATAACTAATTATGTGTACTTACAAATTATTTCAGTGTCAACTAACTCGTCGTCCCAATATGAAATTTGTAAAAGTCGGTAATCTATGTCTTTCAGTTCATGGGTTGTTTACATTTTCGTACGAGGACTAAAGAAGATGCTCACAAAATTGGAAAATTGTATTTTTATCAAATAGACTTTAATGATTGCAACCCTTAGTCCATCCTTCTGTGTATTAGACCTGATTTCACATTCTTTTTCCATTTGGCAGGGGCTTATAGCAACTGGATTGAAGAAGGATCAAATTTTTGTTGGTGACATAAGTACACTCTACAAGAGTGGAAATACTACAGTGGATGTGAAAGTTGATACATACTCTAATGTAAGAGATAGAGTTCTAATTTTACTCAAATATGCTTCCTTTGATACATAGATAGTGTTGCTACCATTGTTTTGAAAACAGGTCAGGACCAGCTAGGAACCGGCGTAGTAACTGGTCCGGTCATAATATAAAACGGGGAATATTTTTGGAACTGGTGAGCACTGGCTAAACACCAGTCAAACCGGTAAAATTCCAGTGCATTGAACTAGTTTCAACTGTTAAATTTGAAAAATATTTCTTAATCTTTAAATTTTTATTAAATTCAAACTAAAAAAAGTGTAAAATAAATAAAAATTCATATTTAGTAAGGGTTTACAAATTGATGAGTTATTTTATAAACTATTAATTTTTTGGTAAAAAACATATAATTTAATCATTTATATTTTTCTATATATTATTTGCTTATAACTTAATATTATATATGTATCTATTTATTCTGTATGCAAACTTATTATCAAGGAATATTGTTGTATTTCATCAATTTAACTTAATTATTATGTTATATTTGATTTTTATTTTTATTTTTAATGTTAACAATTAAACACTGATATTCTAATTTTAGTTTTTAGCATTATAAAATTATGTTATTATATTTATTAAATAATAGTTATATATTATTTAATTATTATATATTAAAATACGTTCAACGACGGTTGAACTATTGAATCTTGAACCATAGTCGTCACGGATTTTAAAAATATTAACGGCTAATTGTATAAAAAGTTCAAGCTTTCTAAATTGGGTTTAGTCGTCTAAGTTGATGTAAACTGAAACCTGTTGCTACCCTTGTTGAAGTTATGGGGTTTAGGTATAGTGGGATGAAGAGAAATAAAACAGAATATACATTTTGAATAATATTATATTGACTACTGCAATTAATTGCAGTGATTAAACTAATTATAATCCTGAGTAATAGGAATCAAATTACCAGATGATAAAATATGGCAATCAATACTGCAGTATTTAAACTAATTGTAATCAAATAGGAATCGAAATACGAGATAAGAAAATATGGCAAACAATCGTAAGAGATATGACCAAATAGAGTATAATATTTTATTTTTTCTAACCAGTGATATTTTCTCTAATTTACCTCTTCAGGTATCTACAAAAGTTACTGTGAATGATATCTTGCATGGTACAAAAGCTGCTTTGAGCTTCAACATACCGGATCACAAGTCTGGGAAGGTGGGTATAATGTAGATTTCCCACTGTTAGATAATATTAATGCATGATTCTAAAGCCTGAATTAAGTGAAGCCTTGCATCTTTTACTACTGAAGATACTTTAAATGTCACATTTGACTCTCTATCTATGAGGACTTCATAAATAGAACGACTCTGCTGGAGCTTAAATCATAGAAGAAAGCGAAGGAATTTGTAGCAAAAGTTTCATCGAAGTAACTTTAGACAGCAAAAGGGATTGCATTCTTTATAACCTTAAGTTACGGCTGAAAATCATGTGATTGACATATTGTTCATGATAGTTTATTCACTTGATTGAGATTGGTTGCGATCAGAAATCTCAAATTGATAAAGTTAGTGCACCCAATCATCTAGTTTTAAGAATGATGCTTTCTGTTTTCTCCTTGTGGGGAGGTGTGGTAGAGAGACTGTCTGTTATCTTGTGGTAAATTACCCTACCAGTAATGATTTATACTAGTAAAGTATAAGTTGAATTTATTTGGAGACTAGCTTAGTCATACCTGGAAACAGCCTCTCAAATTATGGTCATGGTGGGCTGTGGCTGCTAAGGTTTGGTTGTTTGTCCCTTCCAAACATTTGCAATGACGGTAGCATTCTTCACTAGGCCGTCCTTGTTTATGCTTAGCAATATGTAAGCAGTGAATTTAATTTGATATTCTTACAACATATCTGACTATGCTATATTACCTCAGCTGGATGTGCAGTACCTCCATCCTCATGCAGCCATTGATTCTAGTATTGGTTTGAATCCATCCCCTCTATTGGAGCTTTCAGCTGCAATTGGCAGCAAAGATCTTAGTCTTGGTGCTGAAGTTGGATTTAATACAACTTCTGCTTCGTTCACAAAATACAATGCTGGAGTTGCCTTCAATAAACCGGACTTCTCAGCAGCACTTATACTGTGAGTAATGTTGGTACCATATTTTCCGTGTTCAGTTTATGTTGTAGTTTCTTGTTATTATTTGTTTCGTTTTTTGCTCTTCTTTTTTATCTTTTCAACCTCTATCGGAGAAGACCTATTAGAAAGGCAAGAAAAGATTGTGAATTCTGTAAGCATGGGAATAACTCATAGTTAATGTTAGACATAAAATCACACGTAATAATCAATTAAGGATATTTGTAACTATTTAAGGATAATAATGAATAATATTCAAATAAGAAATTACACTCTTGTTTAACATTAAATAAAATCCATAAAAGTAGAAAAATAATATATCATCAGCAAAATTCTCCATGCATGCATTTATATAATAAGTTAAATAATATCTAAAATATTTCAATATTAATCTCAGTTTGTCATTTATCCTTGTATTTAGAGTCAATAAAGATTTAATAATTCAAGGAGGATCTTTGACAATAAATGTATATAGTTATTTCAAACTATTCTCAAATCGTCAAATCATAACACATCACAAAATTCACATAAATGTACCCATTGCATATGAGATTACAAATATATTTGGATACAAATGGAACGCAGCCATACAACCATACATACCCTCCAATTATTCTTCCAAATTATCAATAATTCTAGGGAATTATTGTAGAGATTGTGTTTATGCTTGATGGACTAACAAATTTATGATACCCTAGAGTAGGTAGAAACCCTTCAATGTACTATTTATTAGTGATTGACCCAACCCATCACTGGACCAATCTTATTACAATCCCATGCAAATATCTTTATACAAATAATAATCATTTCTCTAATTGTCAGATAAGGATAAAGATAATATTTTACTCATAAATTAATAATAATCCATAATTACTTTAACTAACAACCACCGTATTTTCAAAAGGTATTAGCACTTTAAATTTTCTATGAACCTTGGGATATTATAATGGTTTATTGTGATATCTATGATTTATGAGGAGAGGATACGTGTTAATACCTTTTGAAAATACGGTGGTTTTTAGTGATTTTTGAAGGCATTGGTATTTGATAAATGATAAATTTTCTATTCTTTTTATTAATGTTTTTCATTTTCATTTGAGAGTTGAAGTTATTTCTGGAAGCTACATTACACTTATTATAAACTGTAGTCTCTGTGTACAGAATATAAAATTCAATTCTTACTGACATTTAAATTGAATCTCTGTCAGAAGTTCTTGATAAGGTATTATGGCAGATAAATTTTGTTATTGAAAATAATGTACAGGAAGACTACAGTTTCCAAACTTGTATGTGTTGAAAGGCTATAGTTTCCTTCCAATCTTCCAGTCTCTTACTTTTGCTTAGATTTTGTGAAGATGTCCTTCCACAAAAGTTTTTTGTTGAGTTCAAGAAATGTGTTCATCAGCTTTGATAGGGGATTTCTTTTAACTTCTCATGTCATTGACTCGCTACGCAGGGCTGATAAAGGACAGACCCTGAAGACATCATACATACATCATGTGGATCGCCCTGATGAATTTACAGTTGCTGCTGAAATCACCCACAGGTTTTCCACCTTCGAGAACAGATTTACTATTGGGAGCTCACAGTTAATAGATCCAAATACAGTATTAAAGACTCGGTTCAGTGACGATGGGAAAGCTGCCTTCCAATGTCAACGAGCATGGAGGCCAAATTCACTTATAACCCTGTCTGCTGAATATGACTCCACGAAGATCTTTAGTTCATCCACCAAGTTCGGTCTTGCTCTTTCTCTCAAGCCTTAATTTGGCCAGCCTATTAAATCTGATTTGGTGACTTCGACTTTTACCGTTATCATTTTGCATTGTTTCCTAAACCCATGGTGGGTTGTTTTAATCATAAGGTAAACCAAAGAAACTATTAATATTTGTGAAATCTAAAGCGGCAAAGGGAAAGAGGACCCAGTTTTGAAATACTCTTGCATAATGGCTAGAGGATTTTGTAGCTGATTTAACTACCATCGAGGATCTAGCATATGATTTTGGGGTCAAATTCTATAATTTGATACAGTGATTCATGGTCAGGTGGATTTGTGAATGCCTGATATCTCATTTCATATTATTTTCGCCCTAATATTTTATTTCACCAGCTCCCTCATCTACACTTGGAAATAAAACACTATTAAGAGTGTTGGGAGAACCATTTTTGGCTATCTCAAGCAATTGAATGATTGCAAATTAGATTAAATGTTTTATGTTTCCGTACCTAGGTTCAATAGTGCAAGAGGAATTAATATTAGATGCTTTAAATTTTAGTTTTTCATTTATTTGGCACTTACATTTGTTTTTTTTTTTATTTTGCCCGTAGAAATGCACAATATTTGTGGAGAAAACTGGATTTGACGGTGAACATTTAAACAAGAATATGACACCGTGACAATATATTTAAAATATTTAATTGATTTTATATCATTTTATGTTGACATAAGACTTGCTTATATTACTAAATTTATTTCATTTTTGTCTTGCAGTGATGCCATTTACAAGAAACAATAGTCTAAAGTGTACTACCATTTCGTTTCCTATAAAATGATCTGAAGAAAAAAAAATTAAACAAATCGGTTCCACTTATTTTTTACTAAAGTTTTTCTAAATATTGATATTGTTACCATTTTTTAGTTTTACTGGCAAAGAAATGAAAATAAGGTATGAAACATCAAAGTAATAACTAAGAGAAGTAAGAGATATATGAAAGAATTACTAATACTTTTATTATAGATGAGGGTTTGATTACTAGTTTTCATATTTTTACCTTTAATAGGTGACAAGAAATAGAGAATGTTAGCTTTGATTCATATCTAATTTTTATGTAAAACGCTTGAGCATAGTAAATAATATTTTTATGCGAAAAAAAAGAGGACTGAAAATTTAGATCGAAGAATTTTTATCCAAGTATAGAACAAACACAAGTAATTAGTTATTTGTTTTCAATCAAAAATATTCTTAGACAATCTCCTCATTATAAATCATTACATAGGATAATATTTTAACTTTTATAATTGCTTCGAAAATGAAATGAAAAATACTGTTTTATTACTCAATAGTGACCAAAAGGGTACAATCACGATATACATGAATTAAACTAAAACTCATTATTTTTTGAGTTTGTAATAAAACAAAATATTGTATTTTCCTCAAAAAAGAATAAAACATAATAAATTACGTGTTTTAAATAAAAGTGTCTTATACTATCACTCAATTTTGACTTCTAAAATACTTCAAAAATTATCTAAAAAATACGTGAGACAAAATTTTCACCTCTCAAATTTCCGAGTTTGTAATAAAATAAAACCTTTTTTCCTTCGAAAAAAATAAAACAGTTTATTATTAGACCTCTGGTTCTGCACAGGAAAAGAGAATGAATGAATGCAAAATTGCGTTTGCAACAATTGTAAAAGAAGAAGAAAAGTGAGAAATATAATAATAATGATATTATAGTAGTATAATAATCGATTATATGAACAAGAAAGGAAAATTAAGGAAAAGGAAGAAAGAAGAGAAGAATAGTGATCTTTGTGTGTTTGTATATTGTGGTTGATCTTGGTTGGGTGTGAGTCTTGGGTGTGAAAATGTCGCACAGCGATACCATACCCCTTCACCCATCTTCCCAATCCGACATCGACGAGATCGAGAATCTCATCAATGCCAGCGCACACCAAACAGTCCCGTCGGCAAGGCCTCCCAGTCCCCCACGCGCCTCCATCCCCGTCTCTGTCTCCGCCGCACCTTCCCCCTTCATTTCTTCCAACCTCCCTCCGCCGCCTTCCCTCCCCAAATCCACCACTTCCGCCCCTCCTCCGCCGCCCCCTCCGCGCCCCGACATCTCCGCGTCCGGGTTCGGATCCGCCCCCAACACCCTCACTGAACCCGTATGGGACACCGTGAAGCGCGATCTCTCGAGAATCGTCAGCAATCTTAAGCTGGTCGTCTTCCCCAACCCTTTCCGCGAGGACCCCGGTAAGGCCCTCAGAGATTGGGATCTATGGGGCCCTTTCTTCTTCATCGTCTTTCTCGGCCTCACTCTCTCTTGGTCCGCCTCTGTCAAAAAGGTATGTGTATATCTCTCTTCGTTGCACTCGTTCTTTCCTAATTCTTAGCTTTTGCAATTAAGATCGCAAATCGTACTTTGCTGATCTGTTGTCACCAGGTTCTGATCTACTGTTAGTGGCTAGTTTCAGCTGAAATTTCAGTGGTTATTGATAATCACGTGTCTTTGGATGGAACTAGGGTAAAATCCGCTTAGGAGTTACACATTGTGCCTGATCTTGATCTTATTGTAAATGTGTCCGACAATCACTTGGTTTTAGGCTTCAATTATTGCTGTCTATGTTTGATTGTGTATGTCTGGCGGAAACATAAAATGAAGAGAGTGAATGTATGTATATGTACGTGCTTAATTGCTGATTCTGATCTATTATGGTCTCTTTGCTGTGTAGTTTGGTTGTTTCTTTTTATTTTCATTATTTCTGCATTATGTTACAGAATTGAACGGTGATTTATCCTTTCCTTGATTTAAGTTGATGGTTCTAATTGTGCATGTTGGGTTTCGGTCATCTTTGTTGATCGATAGTGTGAAAATTAAATTAAAAGTTAAGGGTCTCTGTAATTTGTATCCCATTGGAGGGGTTGCCCATCGAACAATGAGTTTGTGAGGTATAAATCTAGTTTCGCAATGGCACGGAGCATTACTTTGGTGTTGCATGAAGCAAATGGAAATGGTGCTTGATGATTTGACATTTTCTATCCTGCATTTGTGTATGTTGGTTTGCTGTACGTGTACAATTATGTGGTAGGGATTGCCATTTCTACCAAGTGTTTTTCCTGAATTACCCTGTTTCAAGTTTCCCAATTATATATTCTTATTTACATGGTCGAATTGGGCTTCAAATCATGAATTGCGATGTCAATTTTCTAAATCGTTAATCAAATTGTGTTGTAAATCGTTAGATTCACGGCCAATAATTAAAAAAGTGCTTCTAGAAATATTTTAACATACAGAAACATGAAAAATCAATACACATATATATCGACATGTAAAATTTAAAAAAATTATATTTTAAATTTCCAAAATATCTTCATTCGAAAATATCTTTATTTAAATTTTATTAGAAAATAAAAATTTGATTTATAATGAATATAGATTGACTCTTGATTTTATTTTTTTCTGTATTTAGTTTCAAAGAGATTAGAGAATCATGTGCAATAAAGGGGTCCAGCGTATTTGTATTGGAACTATAATACAAAAGTTGCTTAAGTAAAAAATAAAGTACGCTGGTTATGGTTATGAATTAGGTCATCTCTCTTTAACCTTCTAGCAGCCAACACAGCGGTGAGTGGAACACAAGGCCTACTACTGCAGTGTGGCATGATTTGCAGGCTCTAGATGCCATTTTCGTGCTTTTTAAAGTGTCACTCCAAAATTGATACAACCCACAATCTGTATCACCAAGCTGAGAAAACAAATTGTATCACTCAAATCATACATACTGATAACCATTAATTATTATCACTCAAATCAAAACATATTGTATCACTTTTGAAGTTTATAAAACAGTAGCTACGATAGATGCTACAAAGAGACATGCTATTACTATTACCGAAGGGCATCCAATTGTTAGGGCCGTTGTGTTCAGTATAGCAGAACTTTGCTAGCTGTTGGTGGTCTGAATTACATTATTGCATCTATCAGTAGAATTTTTCTCTTGTCCATGATAAAATAATTCGTATATAGATTTTTTTTCCCTTTTATCCTTTGGCTATGTGTAATTAAATTTCAGTTCGTAAATATGAATTTATAGAGGCTGATGTTGTGATTACTGACTAGTTCATGGAGCCAATAGTTGTATTTGAAAATAAATTTTATGGTTGTTGGATTCAGTTAACTGTGTATCAGGGTTTAAATTTCTTAGCATTTCCCTTAATCCTTTGTACTATATGTTCTATCTATAATTACATCTATCAATAGAATCTTTCTCTTCTCCATGATGAAGTTGTCAGTAGAGTGCTATAGCAGGATTGTAGAGCGTCCTTTGTGCCGCTATGGAATTCAATTAGTTGAGAAGTTTCAAGACCAAAACAGCAAGTTTTTGTGTGCTAGAACGGCACTCTAATGATGTAGGCTTCAAAACCCCATTTTTACCCTTGGAAAATCATTGTTTTTTTTTTTGGTTAAAATATATCTCAAAAAGTTACTTCTATTTTGACTTCTCTTGCATTCATTCTTCTTCCTTTAGATTTCACATTCTACTATTTTTTTATATAATTTGTTATGTTCTTTTATTATCAAATTCACGAAGTTACTTCTGTTTTGACATCTATTCCTTCACTCATAATTAGATTTCACATTCTAGTATTTTTTTTATCTAATTTGTTATGTTCTTCTCAATTAATTTCACCATCTTCTTTCAGTGTATTGGCTTCATTACTATTTCTTATGCTCCTAGATTGATGGTGATTGGGCGTGTGGAATGTGACTTGTATGTATCATGATTTTATATGCTTTGTTTTGCTGTATGAGTATTTATATGTGTAGTAGGAATTATTTAGATTGTACAGTGGTCATCTCGCTTCCTGCTTTATTGTTTTCAGAGTTAGTTACTACATGCCGACCTCTATCTGTGATTGATGACTATGATTTGTGATTCAAATAAATTGTTCTTTTCCTTTTACCCTTTCTTGGGCTATGTAGTGATTAGTCCATGGAACCAATAGTTGTAACTTAAATTTTATTGTTGAATTTAGTTAACCTTTTATGGGGGGTTCAAATTTCTTGGTCCTTTGTACTATGTTCTACTCGCATTTGTAGCACTCTAGTTTATATACTCCTTTTTTTTACCTGCCTTGTAGTTTGCATTGATGATAGTGAGTCTTGGTACAATGGTAAGTTCACCTAGAAGTTATTATTCTGGGTTTGAATTCTAGAGATAGCCTTGGAGGTGAGGTTGTATACATCTACCCTCCCCAAACTGCACCAGGTGGGAACCTTGTGCATTAGATTTTGTAGTTTGCATGTGTTGTATAATTATAATTAATAGAATTTGGTCGATGTTAGTCATATTTTAACGTCTTTCTGTCTGATTGTGTATCAGTCCGAAGTTTTTGCTGTTGCATTTGCTTTACTTGCTGCGGGTGCTGTAATTTTGACGTTGAATGTACTTCTTCTGGTAATAGCCTCTTCTATCTCTTTATCTAGTCATATTTTGAGTGTCAATTTTGTGTTATGTTGAAGGGTGGTGGACCATTCTCGAAAGTATAATTTGATGAATAAAGACAGATATTTGACTTTGTCTTCCTCCCTTCAAAATTTCAGGGTGGACACATTATTTTCTTTCAGAGTCTGAGTCTGTTGGGTTATTGCTTGTTCCCTCTGGATGTCGGGGCATTAATTTGTATGTTGAAGGACAATGTCATAGTGAAAGTGGTTGTGGTATGTGTGACATTGGCTTGGAGCTCTTGGGCTGCATATCCTTTTATGAGTTCTGCCGTCAACCCCAGGAGAAAAGCTCTTGCTCTCTATCCTGTTTTTCTCATGTATGTATCTGTTGGTTTTCTCATCATTGCCATTGACTAAATCCATTAATGCTTCTGATTGCTGTATTCCGATGACCGCCAGGAATCTTTCGAAATAGGAATTTTTGTTTAATGATCAACCTCTTCTTTTTAATTCTTTTCCGCCCTTCCTTTTTTTCTGTTTAAAATTTGGTTAGATATATTTGAACACAGACAGTTGTATAATATTACGTGGAAAGTATATGGTGGGACCAAGCTTGCTGCATAAATATTGTTCTCTTATATCATGTATTATTTAATATGTGAATGTGAATACTGATAGGATTGGAGGACCCAAATAGAGAAATAATTTGATTAAATGGATTATTTTATTTTAGGCGAATCACACTCACCCTGTATGTTAGGTTTAATGAAACTTTATCTGAAATACCTATTTTGAATATTACTTGGACCTCCCTTGATCATGTAATAAATCAAGAGTGGTTTCTCTCAATAATGCAATAAAAATAAAAATAATCTTGCTTACTTAATCTATGATTAAACGAGTTCAAAATGGGTCATGGTAATGGTAAGTTGACATTTGATATATAATTTATTTTAAATTTTATAAATCATTATAATAATTTAGTAATTTAATTAATGTTATTTTATCAAGTTTATTCTTAATTATTTGTTGCACTATTGTGTTATTTTAGTTGTGTCATAGTATTTGTTGTGTTATTTAGTTGTGTCATAATATCTTTCGTGTTATTGTGTCCACGAAGTCACCATATTATAGTTGTACCATAGCTATTGTTAAGCCACGGTATCATTGTATCTCAATTTCATGATTGAATTGTGCTTATTAGGAAAAATTGAATAACAAAAAAATAAATATGAATTAGGGAATCATTCCATTAATATAATATAAAATTTATTATTCCTCCATTAATATAATATAAAATTTATTATTCCTCGTAAAATAATTAGGGTTGAATTCACAGTTAAGTCTGAACTAATCCGTCAATTATGCCCTTCTATTAGTTTACATTTTATTATATTTGAGTTCTGTCAGTGTTCTTTGATTCTGCCACTGTACAAGACTTATATACAGACAATCTAATGTAAAAAAGTAATTATTTGAATTTTTTATTAATATAATAATAAAAAATATGTCCATTCATATTTTTTATTTTTTATTTTCTCATTATGATTGTCTCTTGATTATTTATCTAAAATAGTTTGTTATTTTATCATTTGGTAGAGTATGACGAGTAATTCTTCGTTTGGTTTTGCAGCAATGGTGAAGAAATAGGTTAAAAGAGAAAAAGTTAAATGGGAAATAAAAAACAAAATTCTTTGAAATAGCATAAATTGAACGTTGACAGAGGTGTAAATGGATAATTGGCCCAACTTAATTTAATTCAATTATAACTTTTTTGAATTTGATTGGACAATTGGATCAGGTTAAGTATTATTTAATGTCCTCTGTTGGAATTGGGTCTGATAATGAGTTTATGAATTTTAAATCAAATAAACCTAATCAAGTTGACTTAACTTAATTATATAATAAGTACATAATAAAAATATTATTTATGTGTGTATTATGAGTATTTTGATTATCTTATAATTATTAAAAAATATTAAATATTTTTATGTTGAGGTATCTTTCCTAACAAATTATTATTATTATTATTATTATTATTGAGTTGGGTGAATTAAATTTAATTAGATTAAGTTAAAAATATAATTAAATTTGATCTTGGACTAGTTACATGCCTAAATAATGACCAACAGACATAGGTTTGAGCAAAGTGTAGTGCTTTATCTCTATTTATTATTAATTTTGAAAGTGTAGAGCCCATTTTACTTGCAGGTTTTAAGCTCATTGGGTTTTTATCGGTTGATCTTATCCACACTGCTGCGTTGGGCGTTTGAATTATTGAATCGACGTGAGAGACTTGAACATATATCCATTTAAGTGACTGTGGGAATAAGATTAGGCAAGTCGCAGTCCCAGTAGTGCTTGCTTTAAAATCAAAAGCCCTTCCAATGCAATTCGTTAGTCACGTCCAATCCGACAACAATGATATACATGTTGGAATCTCGTAAACGAAAAAGCCCAAGAAAAAAACTTAAATAATTAGGATTAGTAGGTTAAGATGGAGACATTATTAGAGCATTCATTGTTTCACCTATATATAGATTGCCCTATCCTTTCAACAGTTAATTACTACTACCATTTACTCATTTCACCTTTCATTGCAACTTTGAAACAAAAGAGTATGCAACTACCCCAAATCATTGCATGCCTATAGCCACCGGTACTTTTCATCTTTGTCGTACATCTTCATCAACACATTTCTTTTTGTCAAAATGGACGTAAAAAATAGGTACGGATCGCGCGTGTATAATAGGTTTAGTCTAGGCATGGTCCTGGACACAAATTGAACACGCTGTTATAAATAAATCAAATTTGTATGAGTTGGTATGTAGGGTCAAATAATCAATATTTACTTCACATGTTGTATACATTCTTCTTATGGTATCATCATTTCACCCGCCTAGCTAAGTAGATTTACGCATTTTGACATGACTGCATTTCAACGCATACTAACCCTTATTTGCCTTAAAAATAAAAAATAAAAAATAAAGATACATGTTTTCAGTTTTTCCTCTACTTTATATTTTCTTTTCTAATTTATTATTGATAAAAGATATGTTGTATTCTCGTTGCTTAAATAAAATAATATTCTTTCTACTACAAGAATTCTATCATAAAAAAAAAAAAATCAACTTCCACTTAATATATAATATTTTTTTATTTTTAATATTTTGTTTTCTCTTTTTTTCTATCAAGTATTGAGAAAAAAATATAATAAAAAAGTATTTAAATAACAAATAATGTAAAAATAATATAAAATATTTATTTCAAAATAATAAACAAACTAAAATTAAATACTCATATGATAACAAGATTACTCATGTAATTATAAATTATTTTACATAAACCAAGTAAGTTTTTAATTAACTCTTCCAAATTATAATCTTATTTCATTTCAATATAATATACTTTTGACGTATATTTGTAAAATCTTTTTTATTATAAAACTTTTTCAAAAATATTTTAAACTTAAAATTAATAAAATAATATTGTATTAGAAAAATATATATAAAATTATTTAGTTTTTATAACAATTTTCATATTTATCACACTTTATTAAAATACTAAAATAGTATAATTAAAAGTCAATCTACATTAATAAATTATAAATATGAGAATTAATAATTCATAATTATTTTGTAAATGAAAAAAAAAATCATGGGAAAAAATTATGAGTCTCATAACTATAAAAATTTTCCTTTTGTTCTCTATAGTCAAACATGTCAATATTTATATTTTCTGTTAATTTTTCTTCTATTCACTCTATTTTTCTTCTACCATTAACCATCTAGAACAATTTCATAATGAATTGTGCAGGTCAACAAATGAACTTATAATACAAAAAGAATATTGTCTAATACAATGTGAAATCTATTGTAATGTCTATTGTCTAAATTCATAAAGACTATAACATATTAAAAATAATATGATTAAGAATCAATTGGAGAATTTAAGAGTTCAATCTAAGGTTCCATTAGTCTGAAAAAAAAAAAAAGGAAAAGTTATTAATACAGAAAAATGAACAGAAAAAAAGTCATTTTTTATTATAATATAAATATTTTGTTTTTTATTTGTATATGAATGAAAAAAAATTATTATTTTATAAAATATTATGTTTAATTAAATAAATTAGTATTTTTTATGTTTATAATTTTAATATATATATAATTATTTTAATAAAATATTATAAACATAAAAATATTATAAAAATTAAATAAATAAGTTAATATATTTATTTATAATATGATATCATTTTATTAATTTAATTTTAATATTTTTAGAAAAATGTTTTATAAAAATAATTATATATCAAAATATATTATTCAATAAATGAAATATTAATTTAAAGATATTACTTTAAAAATTATTTTATTAATAAAAATTCAACTAATAATTACATACATAATTTTATAATTAAATAATGTTTTTATCTATTTTATGTTACTTTCCTTTGAAATAAATAATAATGCTTTCAACTTCATATTTTATATATTTTTTCTTTCTACTTTCTTTCTTTATTACCAATATATCTTAAAAGATAAAATTGTTGAATTGTAGGGAATAATGAATGAGTTTATCGAAAATTTAATATTTTGATGCAAACGTAGAAGTGAAGAAGCAGATGAACAAAACGGTGATGTGAAATTCGCTTTTGGCAAAAGTCCGCGTTCAAATTCCATTTTTGTGCGTTCGTGGTTGAAAGAAGGAAAAAATTATGAATGAGTACGCGAATGATTGTTAAGAAGAAAACTACATACAACAGTCAATTTTAAAGAGTGGGAATAATAATCAAGTTGAAATTCCCTACACAAGTTTATTCCTTTCATCTTCTCTTAGTTTCTAAATTCAATTTTTGGTCAAACATACAAGCAAGTGATCAATCACAGTTCGATATAATATTCCTTTCGATATTTGTGCAAATAACTTATAAAGCATCTCTAAGACTGAATGGAAGGTGGCTACAATTTCTTTGGTCACAATTCTTCACAAAAACAAAATAAAAATAACCCTATAAAATAAGAGATTAAGAGTAAATATCTATTTTGAATCTTTAAGAAACAACTCTATTCAGACAATATTATACTATAAGAAAAGTGAGAAAAGGAACAAGTATTTATTCACAATTTAAAATTCTTCACTAACATTGCTTTGACAATTGTGATTTTCGTCAAAATTTTCACTAATAAACAAAGTTATTAGTATTTTTTTTCTTGTCCTTCAAACATAAATAAAATAAAATATTGTCTTGATTGTGTTTTTTTTATAAGTGAATTTATTCATGTTTAAATTAAAATAAAAAATCAATATTGTTGATAGTTTAATTTAAAATTAGTTTAAGATTTTGTTATTTTGTTAGGAATATAATTAATTCCTATAAATATAATCATTTTTTATTGTAAAATAACTATAAACTAATAAAGAAAAAATACTTTTTTTTATCATTTTTCTCTTTGTATATTTTTTCATTTTCCTCATGTCTTGTAAGTGTGGGTGCGTCATCTTTTAGAAACAGAAGGTGTCTTGCATAAAAAGAAGAATATTGGTTAAAAAGAAGAAAATGTGAGAACAAAAGTAGGTGGTACATAGCTTTATGCAAGAGAGAGATCTCTTGTGTGGTGTGTACGAGGAGCAGAGTGGTATCTAGAGCAGGGTTTAAGAAAGAATCTTGGGAGCATTGTTATATGTGTACTCATGGCTGGTAGAAATTTGATACCCGGAAGCTTACTAGTGTTTGACGGGAAATGTTATAATGATTGGTGTGTAAAGATAGAAACGATTCTTGGTTTGCAAGAAATTGATGAAATTGTGAAGGTGAGTTTCAAATAACCACCCAAAAACGTTGATGACAAAGCCAATAAAACAATTAAACAGACGAAGAAGTTGGACTACAAGGCTTGGGTATTGCTACATTAATGTGTTGCTGCCAATATTTTTCAGAAATTTTCAAAAGCTACCACAGCAAAGGAGGTTTAGGATATCTTGTACAATGGATATGGAAATTCTAGGAAATTCAAGAAAGTAAAACTGCAATCTTTAAAGAGGCAATACGAACTTCTTTCCATTCGGAGATAATGGCTGAATATTTCGGCAGGTTACAAGTACTTACCAATGTCATAAGAATGTGTGATGAAAGCATAGAAGATTGCAAGATTGTGGAGAAAGTTTTTAAGAGCTTTAACTCCAATGTTCGATCATATTATGGTTGTCATAGAGGAATCAAAGGATTTTGATGTTATGACAATAGAAGAATTACAAAACTCTCTTGAAGCACATGAACAGAGAGTGAATGAAAGAAAGAATTGTGAAAAGGTGGTAGAGCAGGCCTTACAAGCCAAGATTAGTTAGAATGGAAGAGGTCGTAGTGGTTGGAAAGGAAGAGGCGGAGGAAGAACTAGAGGAGGAAGATTTGGGAACAGAAATAGAGGTAGAAATGATGAACTAATGTCCCAAGAACAGTCTAGAAATAGTGGGAATGAAAGAAGAGGAGGAAGTCAATACAGAGAGGAAGAGGTGACAGAAGGCCCTATGATAAAAGAAAAATATAGTGTTACAACTACAACAAATTTGGTCATTATTCATATGAATGTTGACAATATAATACTTCAAAAAATGGTAGGATGGAGAGGAAGTTAATCTGGTGTAGATAAAAGAATGTGGATCTTATTCAGACCAAGTACTGTTGATGGTAACAACAACCAGTGAAGAGGATAACACATCATGGTACTTAGACACAGGATGCTCTAATTGCATGACTGGGAACAGAAGTTGGTTGATTGATTTCAACCCATGTGTGAAAAATAGTGTTAAATTTGCTAATAATAGTTTCATTGTAGCAGAAGGAATTGGGAAGGTGATAATTACATGCAAGGATGGAAAGGTTGCCTACATGAATGATGTTCTATATGTCCCAAGCATGAAAAACAATCTGTTTAGCCTAGGACAGTTATTAGAGAAAGGTTATACTATGAACATGCAACAAAACTTTATTGAAATATTTGATTCACAGTAGAGGTTAGTGATTAAGGCACCACTATCCAAGAACAAGACCTTCAAGATGAATTTGGATGCCACTGAAATACAATGCTTATCAACAACTAATGTGAAGGAAGAGAGTTGCCTATGACATTATTGATATGGTCATTTTAATTTCAAGAGCTTGAGTCAGTTCAGCAGTAGGCAGATGGTGAGTGGACTGCCACAAATTCAATTACCAATCAAATTTTGTAAGAGTTGTGTAATTGGAAAACAACCTAGAAAGGCTTTTAAAACCTCTACACCAAAACAGGCTAGGAAAGTATTAAAGGTTGTGCACTCAGATGTGTGTGGTCCTCTGGACACACCATCACTTTGAGGAATAGGTATTTTCTCACCTTCGTAGATGAGTTTTCAAGAAAATTTGGGTATATCTACTAAAGGAAAAGGGAAATGTGTTTTCTATATTTGTCAAATTTTATACATTAGTGGAGAGACAAGTTGAGAAGTGTTTAAAATTCTCAGAACAGATGGAGGAGGTGATAAAGACCAGGTAATACAGTAAGTTCTATGAAGGAAAAGGAATACATGAGGTGACTGTATCCTACACACCACAACATAATAGGCTAACTGAGAGAAGGAATAAGATGTTATTAGACATGACTAAAGGTATGCTAAAAGGAACAAATTTTCCATATTGCTATTGGGGAGAGGCAGTAACCATTGTTGCCTATGTTTTTAATAGATGCCCTACAAAGAGAATGAAGACAGTGACACTAGAGAAGGCCTGGTCTGGGATAAAACCGTATGTGCAACATATGAAGGTGTTTGGTTCAATATATCACAGACATATCCCAGATGAAAGGAGGAGGAAGTTGGATGATAAGAGTGAGCCTCTTATCCTGATTGGCTACCATCCAACAGGTGCCTACAAGCTGGATGACCTAGTTAAAAGACTGGTGGTGATTAGTAGAGATGTTCTTGTGGATGAAACATTCTCTTGGAGTTGGAAAGATGATGCAGATACAGTACCGAATGTTCCATGTGTTTTGGAAGACAAAGTTGAAACTCCAATTGTTGTACCAGACAGTAGAAGAGCACAAAAGACACAATTTCCTTCAACCAGACTTATAGATCATGAAGTATATGGTGATGATATGATCACAACAATTGGTGATATGGTTCATCAGGCGCTTATGGCTGACACAGAGACTATCACATGGAGAGAGACTTTGGAAATCAGGGAATGCAAAGATTCTATGAAAGAGGAATTGGAAGTAATTGAGCAAATCAGGGAATTGGTTGATTTACAACAGAATAAAGACCCTATTGATGTTAAGTGGGTCTTCAAACTAAAGCTAGAACCAGATGAATTTGTGAATAAGTACAAGACCAGATTAGTTGCAAAAGGATTTTTGCAATAACATGGAATTAACTATACAGAAATATTTGCTCCTGAAGCAAGGATGGAAACTGTGAGGTTGGTCACAGCAGTAACAAGCTCAAATGACTGGAAAATCAGTCATGGATGTGAAATTGCCCTTTCTTAATGGTCCATTAGAAGAAGAAGTTTATATCTTACAACCTCCAGATTTCAAAGTGAAAGGAAAAGAACACAAGGTGTACAGGTTAAGAAAAGCTTTTATATGGCCTTAAGCAAGCTTCAAGAGCCTGAAACAGATTGATAGAGGCAGTACTGGTCAGACATGGCTTTGTAAAATGCATAGTGGAATTTGGGATTTATATAAAGGTTACACTTCATAGAAACATATACTTATTGTATGTTTGTATGTGGATGATTTAATCATCACAGGAAATGTGGCTACAGAGACAGAAGAATTTAAAGAGAAGATGAAGTCTGAATTTGATATGACAGATTTAAGCCTCCTAAACTACTTTCTTGGGCTGGAATCTGTGCATACTCACAAAGGAGTATTTCTGCACCAAAAGAAGTATGCGAATGAAATTCTGAAGAGATTCAAGATGGAGGAATCCAATGAGGCTGTAATACCAGTTATGACTGGCCTAAAATTGACTGATGAAAAGGGAGCAGAAACTGTTGATGCAATCCTATACAAGAAAATTGTGGGATCTCTTAGATTCTTATGCAATAGTAGACCAAACTTAAACTTTAGGGTAAGCCTAACAAGCAAATTTATGCATGATTCTAGAGTCCTTCATATGGTTGTTGCAAAGCACGTCTTGAGGTACTTAAAGGTATTATAGATTATGAAATTTTCTTTCCTAAGGCAGGTGAACAGAATTAAGCAATGTTGAAAGCTTATTATGATTAAGATTGGTGTGGAGACAATGTGGAGAGAAGGAGCACTTACAGGTATTTGTTTGGGTACCTAAATGCACAAATTTCGTGGTGCTCTAAGAAACAGAAGGTTGTAACTCTCTTGTGAAACATAATACATAGTTGCATATGAGGCAGCTGGTCAAAGTCTATGATTGAAGATATTATTGGAGGAGTTAAAACTGATTTATCATAAACCAGTTCAGACAAATCAACTATCAATTTGTCAAGGAACCCTATTCTACATGGTAGAAGCAAGTATATTGACACAAAATTCTATTTTCTTAGTTGATCAAGTATGCAAGGAGAAACTAACCTTGATCTATTATTGTATTGAAGATCAAACACTACACATTTTCACCAAGTCATTAAAACAAGCTCGATTCGACAAGTTTAGAAGACATACAT